TGGACAAATGTCACCATTTTATTTGGCTTCTCTGGACTTGGGTGGCAAATTAAACCAAAAGTATGATATCTCCATCTTTATGCCTCTGCATGAGTGCAGTTAGTTCAAATGGAGTAAGGGTGCTGTGTACACAGCTGTTACCTGACCAAAATCACAGCTATTAAACCAAATCAGTTAACAAGAACATTTTTCTTCTCTGGCTTCAACCTGGGAACTATCTATTGAAAATCACGTCAAAGCAACACACTTAAGATCATCCAATTACCGTAATAGCCCAAGATTGTGCTGATAGGTAAGGGGTGGTTTATTTTTCCCAGGAATGCGTGCATGTTGATTCACTTGTCATAGATGCGATTATAAGCGGAAAAAAAATATGGCATGTTATTTATCTCATGAGGGAATGTATTTTTCATTGATTTCAAAGCTATCATAGAAACTGGGTGAAACTACACTCATGGTAGAGTGCAAATACATGATCAAAATATAAAATTGTTCTGAGAAAAAAAAAAAACATTTCGCTGGCATCTGTTTGTGAGTTTCAGATCGATCCAAAGAAAGGGTGTTCAAATAGAAGTGGCGGCTCTCTGGCTTGAACAAAACATTTTGGCACAGTAATAAACTTCATCAAATGCAATATGCTGAAGAAAACAATCCATCAGCCAAGTTGCAATCTCCAATGCATTTGAAAAGGATAAGTTTTAATATGAGAATATACAGTAGTCAGAGGTCAAAAGCGCATTCTAATTGTCGGAAAAATAAATGAGCATAGGGTTACAAAAAGTTATCAAGAATAAGAAGCTCAAACCAGCTGAAGTTAGCTTTTAATCTCGACATTGTTATTAGTGATAGTACTTAATTTTATACACACATACACACAAATGTATTTTTTCTGGTCTGACTTTCCATAGACTTTCATCGTGTCCCTGAGAACTGTAGTCGAGAATTATTTTAAAATAGTGCTGCAGGAACGGAAACAATGTATGAGAAAAATGTATGTGTATTTACAACGACTTGGGTTGCCGCAAACAATTTTAGTAATTGAGTTCATCAATAATTACAAGAGCAAAGAGGAACAGGCACTCTCAATTTCGAATAAAAATAATTTTGGGTCTTCATAAGGGAAATATCAATAAGAACTATGGATTAATTCAGTATCATATTTTTCACTTTTAAAATAAACGCTCCCTGATTATCAGCTTTGCGGTCTGTGTAAGAAATTGTATTATGTGCAACTGTGGAGAAACTGCTTTTAGCCACAGAGCAGCGAGGGGCCAATGGATCGACTTCCCGATGCTCCCCTATCAAAACACACACAGCGGTCAAACTGGAGGTACAGGGGGCAGCGCAGAGGGACACTGTGGCCCTGGAAGTCTCCACCTGCGTGGTGTTACAGGGTCAGGACAAACCCCCATCCTGCACAAAGCTGCCCTTGTGCGAGATAAGCACTGGGCACTATGAGGGCCCTACGGCACTATTTTCACAATCAGGCCTGGTTTGTTTTCTTTAGGCCCCAGAGCAGGACGCTGTCAGGAGTTCAGGGGAGAGGAGCAGGCAGAGAGCTGGGTACTGTTGCACATGAAGAAAGAGGATCTCCGACTGGGTGGGCCATGGCAGATCTGGGTATTGTAAATGTCCACTTCATATATATATCTAACATCTTTAATAAATATAAAACATATTAAATGAGAAAAACTGGTTAAAAAAATAAAAATAAAATTACAATGGCAGTTGGAATTGAATACCCAAAACTCTAGATATTCACCCGGGTGAAATTTTCAAACGTTATTTCAGGCCTTAACCCTTACTTTTTGCTAACGTGTAACTCCTCTTCACATCCAAAAACCAATTGTCTCAATCAGTGAAGAGCATCTAGGTTCTAAGGTCTATTGTAAAGTAATATTAGAAAGCACTCGAATGGCAATCACTTTATATTTTTGTATTGTCTTTGTATTTGGCCCATCCTTTCAAGGCCACTCGGTCAACCTGTCAGCTCCCCGGTCTTATCTTTCCCATTGAAACTAACAGACAACTGCTCCCACTGGTCAGATCTAACTTCGCTGGGGGATTTTTTTGGGTGCATATTCTGTGTTGGATGGTGGGGAAACCGGCACGCCTGGAGGAAATCCTGGAGAAACATGTTTCCTCCACACAAAGACACAGGTGAATACTTTGAATGCAATGAAAATGTTACAATACACTTAAAGCTGCACTAACTGACTTTGAGAAACTTTCGAATCAGAACGCTGAGCTCGCTCTCTCTGCTCGCCCTCCCCGCACGGAGCTTTCGCCCCCCACTACGCCCCCCCATTTGAACGTGGATGGCGTGACCATAGAATGATGGAACCGGGAACGAGACTTTCTTTTGGATGGCTGTTTCGCTGTGTAAGCAGAAACCGGTAACGAAGACACGGGAAGTTTCAGGTTAGCCTCCGCCGCTTGTTTACCTTAGCTGTGTGTGCTAACAAGAGACCTGTGGCTTTCCTCAAGAAAGCGGGGGCCAGTGGTCCACTGTGATTGGTCACAATTGGGACCCGAAACAAATTCTCTTCCTTGTTTCACCAAAACTCGATCTAAAATTAAATGACACGCCAGCACAAATCTGCGCTCCTTTTTTTTCAAAAGGACGTATATCCCAATGCATTGCATGGATATGGATTGAATTTTCGTAATGAATACAAAAATAAAGTCAGTTAGTGCAGCTTTAAGTTTGTTGACTTTACAACAAAAATACACTGAAAATCACTGTGTAACCCTTAATTCTGCTTTGTCCATTTAACAACTCTCATTATGTGTTGTCTGTATACATGGTGGCCGTTTGTTCGACCTCACATGTGCTCTCATGCTGTTTCTATTTTCTCTTGGCTTAAACTGTGGAGAAATATTATGAGTGTTTACAGTCACAAGCCACAATGTAAAAGCTCCAGAGTTAGAAGAATGTTTCTTGGTTCAGACTATTCCGAAAATGATACTAAAATTTAATTTGAAACAGTTGCTTTGGTGTTGTGAAGATGAGACGCCTCGAGCAAAGACTAGTTCATCCAAAAGTACAACAAAGAATATCCTAATATTCAATGGGGAAATATCTGTAAAAGAATTGCAGCTGCAGTTGGAGAATTACATTTGCAGTTGTTGCTCTGATGATTTGGAGTCCTTATCTGATTTGAAGTTAATTTCTTATTAGGTAGCGCTGTACTGTTTCTAGGATCATGTTAGGATTATTTAAAATGGTTTATCTGCAGGCAGTGCTTCTTATTTCTGTCCCATACAACAGTGTGTGTGTGTGTCGGTGGATGTGTGTGCATGTGTGTGTGGCCTCCAGGACTGTTCTCTGCTCACTCCCAGAAGACCCAATGTCCACCAAAACAAGAACTGGTAATAATATTGCAACAGTACTTTTTTGCCAGAATAATATCAGATAATTAGGAGGAAAAAAGTTACAGCTGCTCTGTAAATGTAGGGTTTTTTTAACACAAAGACGCAATGCTAGCCTGTTGCAATCCTCCTGCAAACTCTGCTTTCTGAGGGAACGACGCAGATAACATTTGCTATAACATTGAAATAGATATAAAGGTCATAATGTGCATACAAGTCATCAAAATAATACATCTTGAGAACAACTCCAAAAAAGACATTAACTGAAATCTCATAAAAAGTATAATATTTACAAATTCATGGGTTTCAGAAAATGCACCAATTTGATTCAAGTTTTTCTCAGTTGCTTTGGTGCATTTCTCAGATCAGACTTAAAGTTCTCAAAACTATTAGTTTTGACCTCCACAACACTGAGTCATTTGTGCACATCATCGTAGAAGTTTCTCCTTTGAACAAATATCAAATGCTTTTGGACAGTACTTCCATAAGTTACTTTCATGCAATTCTCTGCTGTTTTATAACATTATCATTTGCTTCTGTCACTTTTAATTTGATTGTACATAATATATCTTGCACAAAAGAGACTTGTTAACATGTTTGCACACTTCCTGTCTTTTTGCACAACCTGAGTGATTATTTTTTATACCAAATGAGACATGTACATTTCTCCAATGTGAGATCAATAGTTTATGTTATCTTATCTTAAGCCCTATTCGGACGGGATTAGTTCTACATGGGGACCCCTGGTAATTTGTGATAATCGCAGACGATGTCTGAGATTTTAGTCTCATGCGAATGCGCCATGTCTGTAATTTGTAAAGTAATAATTTTGTCGCAAATTACCTCCTGTATTTGTCCAAACACAGACATCCTCTGATAATACTAATCCCGTGCGAATCCACATGTCAGTGATTGTGATCTCTATTGCCGCTTTCTCTTTACTATCTGCAGAGGGGTCGCGTATCGCGGCTGTGTACACCTGCAGAGTCCCGGCTGCTGCTGTCTCTATGAGGTCTATGGTGAAGTGTAGAGGACATTGTAATGTGTTCACTGACACTAAATGTTCAGACCGATGGGTTGTGTTTGTACGTTTACTCTGCACTCTCTCCTAATACAGTACAGACGTGTTGCTGCAGCGGTTACTATTTGTCGGCTCGCGCGTATGTTATCAGAGTATGTGGGGCGTTCACGGGTAGTCCGTACAAAAAGTGTTGTCTAAACATTACAGAAAGTACAGGCCAGAGAACTGTAGAGCAGTAAAATCCACATGTATGTGTTTGTCCTCATGGTACCTATTACTGCTGTGGTCAGACGCCAGTCTCTATGGGCTGCGTGAAGCGGAGAAACCCACGCACGTGAGGCCGTTATGTCCGATGTCAGTGAAATTTACAGACGTTGCTTATCCCGTGCAAATGCGCTGTCAGATCTCAGATGTTCTCCGTGATTATCACAAATTACCAGGGGTCCCCATGTAAAACTAATCCCGTCCGAATAGGGCTTTATTAGACCCTCAGTGCTATTGTAGAGGGTAAAACCCCATATTGGTGCAAACCTCACGCGGACCTTATGGACCCTGAAGAGCGCAAGTACTTCTTCCACAATAAAAACCCGAATTTCTGAGCATCCAAATGCTCAGAAACGTGGAGGATGGGGTTCGGATCCCAAAGGACAGTCAGCTCACAGACAAACACCTCAAAGCCATCGGGAAAGCGGCTGCCAAAAAATTACTGCTGGAGTATGGCTTGGTCTCTGCTCTAAGCTACAATAGTTTCACTGAGGCTACGATAAAACTGAACCTGAACCTCCAACTCAAGCATTATTTGGCCCATTGTCCTCAGACTAAGCCAACAAGCTTCTTTGCAAGGGTTTGGAAGGTCTTCAGAAGAAACCGGATCAGCTCGGGACCTCTGAGCACCTATTTGTCATCTACTAATCAAAACCAGTAGAGCTTAGATATGGCATTATCTAAGACTGGTTGGTTGGGGTGTTTTTTGGTTTGCTTTTTTGTTTATTTTTTTTTCTTACATTATCTTGTCTTGTGTCAACTGCATCTGACATGAGTTTGGATGATATTTTCTAGTAGGTTTGGATTCAACCACAACTGGGGAAAATATCAATAAGAGATGTATTTGAAGGCTGATACTTCAATATTATAATTCCTATTTTAACTAACTATAACTTCTAAATACATTTGAGTTAACATGTCAGATCCGATACAATAATTTGGTTGTTTTCCTGAGACAATAGGCTTTAAAATGTAAAACATGCCATAGCCTTACCATCAATACAGCAAGTTACTGTGATAATTGAAAGTCATTTCAGGGGCCACTAAATATTGTCTTGCGGCTCATGGCCCATGGGCCTGAGTTTGACATGCCCGATCTAAGTCTCTAAACAGCATTCAAAAATATGGATTTAAACAGGTCTTCACTAGGACGAGATATGCGGTGCAGTGGTCCTACACTGAACTGAATATTTGTCCTTCCACAAGTTTTTTATTGTGCTTACTTGTCTTCACCGCAAAGAATATAACAGATTTTTTGATGTGAAGAAAAAATGTATATATGTGAATTCAAATTTTAAACTACTGTTGAACCTGGACAAAATCGCACACCAACAGACATAGTTCAGGCATTCTTTTTACAGTACGTGGTCACCCTTTCCAAGGAGACATGCTTTCAGAGGACAGTGCACAAGCCCAGCCTCATCGAGCAAGTCTAACCTAAGACAAACCGTAGCTTGCTTTTGGTAGAAAAGAAGACACACCTTCACAGAAGAGGGAACCAACAGAAAAAAAGACCTTCCTTATTAACATGTAATGTAACCCTCCTGTTCACATTTTGATAGTAGGGCTGTTAAAATCTCATTAACGCAAGTTAAATTTTTTCAGTAATTGCGTTAAAAAACACATTTGGCGCATGTGCCGAATGACCCGCACATGCATGCCCCAATAACACTCAGAATACCGCGTACGCATGCGTGTGTAGATGGCGACAGAGCAGGTAGGCCGCCTTGCATTAACAGTGCATGTTGGTTGTGCGCAAAAGTAAAATGTTATGAGCAAATAAAACAGATTTAATGACATTCTGCATTTCAGACTTTTTTGAAATGTCACATTCTCATCCCTGTAACAAACAATAGTTTTGGTCTGTGTCTACTACAGAACGACAGAATGTTAATGCCATTTTGTGCGGATTTATTGTTGTTATAATAAACAACAACAACTTATTCTTGTATAGCCCTAAATCATGACAGAAGTCATCTCAGAGGACTTAACAAAACCATTGAAATCACCAACACAGATCAGAGAATCAACAGTTAAGACACAAAATATACACATATAAATAATAATAATGCATTGGTTTTATATAGCGCTTTTTTGTATTGGTCCATAGGGAGAGACCAATGTCCATGAATGTTGATAAATGTCATACATGTTGTAGAATGTTAAAGTGTCCTGGATCATCACCACAGTCCTTCTAGTTGGACACTAACTGCCCAACAGACCCTCCTGCATCGGCAAGGAAAAACTCACAGAAACCCAGTGAGAAAAAAAGTGAGAAAACTCGGGGAGACCCACAATTTGAGAAAGAGATCCACTCCGAAACGGACGGACGGGCTAATGATCCAGGACCTAAGCTACAGATCTAGGACCAATGCCACGCAGCGGCAGCACGTGGATAGGTCCAGTGCAGGACTGAAGCGCTGGCGGGTCGGGCAGGGCAGGTGTAGATAAAGGAGGCCAGGTTCAGAGGTCCCGTTGTCGCGCCATGAAACAGACAATAGGACAACGGGTGAAGAGCAATGAACACAGTACAGTCAAAATCTTAATAATGCAGACAGGTCAAAAGCTTACTGCAGGAGTGTGGCTCAGTCTCTGCTCTGAGCGACAATAGTTTCACTGAACCTCCAACTCAAGTATTATTTGGCCCATTCAGCTCGGGACAACATAGTGTACATACTGTATGTACACTATGTTGTAATTTCTCTTTCCATTCAAATAACCATTTACCAAAAAATAATACATTTGCTGATACTGTCGTTCGAAATGCGATTCATTACAAATAATTAATGTTTAAGCTGTAATTAACTTGATTAATCATTTTAATGTTTTGACAGCCCAAGTATTTTTATTAAATGAATATAGATATGACACCAAGATACACTTTCTTTAGAGATGTGAAGCCAACCATACCATATATGAATGGACAACTTATAGACCCCTGGCAAGGCACTGTTGTAAAGCAGCTCTGAAACTGTGAGCTGGCCTCCATAGATGATTCCAGATTTTTATAGCAAACTGTCGAGTAAAACCACAATTGACTCAAAAGAGATACGTTCGCTGTGACTTCATAGCAGTTTGCGGTTTACAGTTCCTCTTTGAGTCCTCTTTTAGAGTTGTGTCCTCTGTTTTGCTCCTTTCATCTGCATTGGAATTGCAGCTGGATTTACCATGTCCTCTAATGGTATGCTTTGTGTTAGTCTTAAGGACTGTGTTTTGCTGTATTCAAACAAGACATAATGCATTCAAGAAGTTGTTAAGTTTACCATAAGTGTCTCTAAGTCCAGTTAAAACAATAGGACCACAGTGGAATTTTACATTGAAAGTTAAACAGATCTTCAACAAAACAAAAATAAAAAATAAAAACGTAATTTAAGAGAATAGATTCAGATAAGACTTGAGGTGAAGTCTGAGGAGCACAGACGTGGAAAGACAGTGTGCCAAAAGCTTCAATGGTCTTTGCCAAAATGTGGCCATAATCTGTTGCCGACAATAAGTAGCAGTAAAACCAAACAGTCTCTTTTCCTATAGCTGAACTGTGGAATTGGGCCCATGGACTATAACCAGAGAGGAACACTAGGAGACATGGGGAGGGCACTGCGGTGCGATTGTGTGGAAAACCATCTGGGAAGTTAAGTTTATACTGGATCAAGACATCTGCATGCCAAAGTCATAATGCTCAATTCACATGAGTTCCACTGAAAAGCATAATTTATTTTTTTCCAACCAACTCAGAGTAGAACATTTCTGTAACCTTTCCTAAGGCCACACCTTGCTCTCATATCAAATTTTGGCATTCAGAGCTCATAACGGATACTGCTGCCAAGGCTTCTCCACAGCCCAACTCAGAAGGCATTAACCCTGGGCAAAAGGACTCCAGAGAGCTGGGTGCCTGGTCCTGTTCCCAAGACTGGATTGTATTGTGCTTTTTGCCCTTGTGGTTTCTTTCTCAATGCCAGTTAGGTGCTTGGCAGAACTTCAGCGATTTCATTTTGTACATCATTTGAGTGGAGTCAGTGAGCACTGAGATGTCAAAGAACTCAAACAGCACCACAGCTTGCTGTTTTGTTAAGGTAATGTTACTCTACAACATGTGAGTGTCAATTGGATTGATCTATAGAAATGTTTTGGTTAAAATATATAATATATCAATCTTACAAATGTAATTAGTACAATAATTTTACATAATCCAGAAGTCCAGGAGTCATGGTTTATCTCAGGACAGGTATACATTAATTTATCTATTTTTGTTTTTTGTTTATTTGATTGGGACAATGCATGTTTACAGTATGTTCTACAACAGAGCCATACAAATATAAGATAACATAAGATAAACTTTATTGATCTCACAATGGACAGAACATTTTCAGACTACATTTTCTTGATAATTGTATTAAATTCTACGATTGTAAATTATTGTATACATGTTTGTACAGTCGAGCCCCTGCTGTTCTGAGTCCTTTCATAGTTCCTCTGAGGGCAGTGGGCTCCTTCACACCAAACTCTTCCAACGGAAATGTGAATGTGCCCCTCAGGAGAACCACATTTGGACTGTCGGTCTTCTCCGTTCAGGGGGCAAAGCCCTGGAACTCTCACTCTGACTGGGCTGGTTTTAAAATGAACTGAAGCAATTTTTAAAAACAAACCAGTTCTGTGAGCATGGGGGACACCTGCCTTTGTATGTTGTGTATGTAACAGTGTAAAATGTGTCTTAAATTGTCTTATAAGCCCTTCTTAGCCTTGGTTTTAAATGTTTCACCTGTTGATTGTGTACACTTGTCCCGATCAAATAAATAAATAAAAAGGAACACACCTCTCCAGGTCTAGGTTTGGGCTAATTTTCATTTTGTGTTCCACAGTCACAAAAACACACTCATTCCCCCTGAACTATTGTACATGTTTTGGTGAATAAAAGGAATATTTTTATCTTTATGCATAATTATCCAGGTTATACAGCTAGGTTATATTAGACAGCCAGTCAATTTAAGTTACATGTATAATGTCTTCATATTTCCAGGGGTCTCATTTATAGAAGATTGCATTAAATAGTATTTGAAAGAGTGCATACCAACAGTATGCACATTTCAGGTACGCGATTTTAAAAGCCGCCTCATGTCCCGCCATCTTCACATGAATGAGACTTACATAAACATGAGGCGTGAATGAGTTGGATTGACACATTGCAGGCTCGAAGGTAAGGGCTCAGTGGGAGGAACACTTTTGGAAGAAAGTGACCTTTACTTCCCAGAGTCTTTCCTTGTCATTGAAACATATCAAAATGCTTTATTTAAAGGAATAGTTCACCGTTTTTACATACTGACATATGTTCTTACCTTACCTTAGACTAGTTAAAGAGAGAGAATTTAGGAGCGCTACGTCCGCGCACTAACTTCTCTCCGGAGACTTCTCTCTCGCTGCTACTGTGTGTACTACAAGTCACGCTGCTTCTATTGACGGAAGTGAGCGAGAGAGAAGTCTCCGGAGAGAAGTTAGTGCGCGGACGTAGCGCTACTCAGATTACTACGCCTCACAATATAGTACCCGTTTTATCCGCTGAGAAAATCGACTGTTACAATTCTGTGTTACTATACTTTGCAGTGTAACACGTCACGTAACTATATACATTTAATAGGGAACACTTGGAAGAGTTTGGTAGCTTCTAGT